TGAAGAACATCCCAGTAAATCAATTAACAACCCACTGCTAAAATGACAGGACCAAAATATCACCCATTTATATTAACCTTGAATGTAAATGGCTTAAAATTTTAATTCACTCTAAATAGTGTTAAGGAAATGTTGAAGAAATAGTAAAAAATAGTCATGAGTGAATATTATTCTTGGGGGCCTTAATGAAACACATGCTTAGCGTGGTTGAATCAAATTCTCTGAAAATGAGATCACAATTCACAGGAAGCATATGTGAAAATCAATACAGCATGAGTCATCAAAGAGAGATAAACAAAGCAAAATCAAATAACTTTAATCAATTGAACAATCTGATACACACATTTTACTAGGTGATTTATAAAACTACTAAACAGACAACTGCAAAGTTAATGGACAGCAAAACAAAACCAAATAAATCTTATAAAGATCCCATGGAAATTATGGACTGGCACGGTGATACTCAGGCTAATCCTCCAGTCTGTGATGCCAGCACCCCATATGGGCACCGATTCATGTCCTGACTGCACCATTTCTGTCTAGCTCTCTGCTTACACCCAGGCAAAACAAGCCAAGTTGGTCACCTCCATGCTACCCTGAATCTGGTTCTCATTTCAGATAAGCTCAGCTCTGGCCATTGCAGTCATCTGGGGTATGAATCAGCCAATGGAAGGCCTTCTCCCTCTATAAAATCTGCCTTTCAAATAAAAACCAACCAATCTTTTTAAAATTTTTCATTGAAATTAAAAAGTCAATTGATAGATCAAACAAAGGATTAAGCATGAAAAAAATAGCCAATTGAAAGACTAAAGTAATTAGCCAAAAATTTTAAAAGAAAGATAGACAACAGAAAGTAGAAAAAAGAGGTGAAGAGATCCAAATAGAAAAAGACTGGGAAAGAAGGTAAAACAAAAACACTTCAAATTTCAAAACAAAAGAAAAAAGAGTTTTCTACCAACAAAGCTATGGCAAGGGAAGTTCCACAGGACAAATTTCACATAAAAGGAGTAAAATCTTGGTGGAAAGCTCAGAGTCTGGCATTGTGATATGAGCTTTTAAGCCTTCATTTGCAATGCTGGCATCCTTCAAGGCCCAGCTGCTCACTTCCCATCCAGCTGTCTGCTAAATGTGCATGAGAAAGCAGCAGTAGCTGGCTCAAGTACTTGGGCCCCTGATACACATGTGGGAGACCAGCATGGAGTTTCTGTCACTTGGCCTTGGCCTGGTACCTATGGCCATTTGAAAAGTAAAATGGTGGATCGATGAACTCTCTCTCTCCTTAATTCTGCCTTTAAAATAAATGCAAATACTAAACAAAAAATAGCCGACATTGTGGCTAAAGCCCTCACCTTGCTCACACCAGGATCCCATATGGGCACCAATTCTAAATCCAGCTAACCGGCTTCCCATCCAGCTCCCTGCTTGTGGCTTGGGAAAGCAATAGAGGACAGTGCAAGGCCTTGGGACCCTGCATCCACGTGGGAGACCTGGAAGAAGCTCTGGGCTCTGGACTTCAGATTGGTTCAGCTCCAGCCATTGCAGTCATTTGGGGAGTGAACCAGTGGACGGAGGATCTTTCTTTCTGTCTCTCCTCCTCTCTGTATATCAGACTTTCCAGTAAAAATAAATCTTTTTTACAAAAAAAAAAATGGAAGCGTAATCTTCCCTGGTTGATGGATTTTCAGCAATCCCAGTAAAGTCAATTGTGTACCAGATTCTAGGTAGATTAGACAATGCTGCCGAAAGCCTGTCTCTGCTGACAAGAGGGAGATGCCGGAAAGCTGAAGTCCTGAGGATCCTCAGCATGTCCAAGCACTAATCTTCAGGGTCTCACTGTCTGAATTCCAACACAGCTATGAATACCAAGGATATTTGTATGTGTTCATCTTTTATTCGGCAGCACATACACTAAAAAAAAAAAAAAAGAAGAAGAAGAAGAGTCTCAAACTAACAATCTAATATTCTACCTTGAAAAATTAGTCAAAATAGCAAACAAGAACTGAAGCAAACAAGAGGAAGAGCTAATTACATTAGAGCAGATATGCATGAGAAAGCAGATTGAAAAACAAAGGAGGAAATCAATAACTAAAACTTGAATAGGTCAGTAAAATTCACATACCTTTAGCTAAGCTGACGAAGAAAAGATGAGGGACCAGTGTCATGGTGTAGCAGGTGAAGCGATCACTAGTAACACCAGTATCCTGCTCCACTTCTCATCCCTGCTAATGCTCCTGGGAGAGTAGCAGAAGATGTCCCAGACGGCTGGGCCCCTGTGGCCACAGATGAAGCTCCTGGGTCCTAGCTTTGGCCTAGTCCTCTCTCAGCCTTACAGCCACCTGCAGAGTAAACCAGGTGGTGAAAGACACCTGTCTCCCCTCTCACTGCGTAGCCCTCTTTCTGTAACTGTGCCTGTCAAATAAATTATTTTCTAATATTTATTTCTTTTTATTTGAAAGGCAGCTTTTTTTTTTAAGATTTATTTATTTTATTGCAAAGTCAGATCTCTATAGACAGAAGGAGAGACAAAGTGGAAGATCCGTCCAATGGTTCAACCCCCAAGTGACAGGAGGTCAAATGCACAGAGCAGGGGGGAGACCCCAGAGTGGAGCAGGTGGACAGGAGGAGGCTTGTGTCCCAACCCTGAAGATTCCTGGAATCCTCACCAAGGACTATGGGCACCGACGTCTACATCCCAACTGCCAAGGAGACCACGGGGAATCGGAGTGCCTTCGGAGGCCGAGAACTCTGAGGTCATCCAGTTCCATTTGAATCTCCCATATGGGATAGAAGAAGTCCAAATCCTTCCTTGAAGGATCCAAGATCATCAGAATGACAACCAGGAGCACTGAGCAGTCCGCAGAAACAGAAGAACAGCAAACTTCCATCAGGACTAGGGAGAGGAGCTTTTTCTGGTCCTTACTTAGTTTCAACTTTGGATCCCCACCCTCTTTTGCAATGACCATCAGGGTCGCTCCAGAGCGCCCCTGCACCCCCCAAAAAAATAGAATAGATAGTCAGAAAAATACAAGGAAAGCTTAGAACTGAACAGGAAACGATCAGCCTGGATCCACATACACCTTACTAGATAGGACACAAAGATTAGTTACTGCTCACTAGGGTATTGAAGATTTCTCTGTACACCCGTCCTAAAACTGTTCTGCAGGCCTTGTTAGATTTATAAGCCAGTTTAGACTATCCTAAAATCTACCAAGTTCAGCAAAATTATGCGTCAATACAATAAACTGCTAAATACTAAAATGAAAACAGACACGAGACAGCTGAATAGTACCCTATAGCCACTTTAAGGTGTATAGAAGCCGGTTCTATGTACAAACAAAAATTGAAGGGTCAATAAAGTAGTAACAGGAAGTGGTTAAGAACTTGCATTGTTTTAACATATTGATTACTCAATACCATGTCAATTAATTCCATAATGTTGTAAATTGTTGCTGATCTTATGTTTTGGATTTTAACTGATCGGGATGATATTCTGTCAGCACTGCCTTCAGACCAGAGAAGGGCTCCCCAAGAAACTGTTGAATTTATCTGGACAATAAGATGCTAGACTCTATGCTTGGTATATGCTTGCAATGAAAGAATCTTGACTGAATTTGAACTGTAATACTGCAACAAGGTGTAGGAATCCACCATGGGGGGAGGGCCCGGGGAGGGGTTGGGGGAATCCCAGAGCCTATGAAACTGTGTCACATAATGCAACGTAATTAGCTTTTAAAAAAAAGATGGTTACAGAGATTGGGAGGCAGGGATAGAGCTAGTTAAGGACCCATGTGGCTGCAGAATCAGGAGCTTCCTCTGTGTTGCCCATGTGGATGTAGGAACCCAAAGGCTTCAGCCCCTTCCTCTCCTTCCTCAGGTCCATGAGCAGTGAGTGGGGTTGGAGGTGGAGCATCCCAGCCATATGGAATGCAGGCAGCCATTAAGCTCAAGGGTACTAGCACCAACCCCCAAATAACTCTTTTAGACTAATTATTCCATAAAATTCTTTGAAAGATCTACTTGGAGAATAAACACAGAGCTACAAAAACAAAAATAAATAAATAAACAAATAAATGAATAAATAAAAGGAAACAAAAATGAAAGAAGAATCAACTCACTTCACTGAGGCCAGGAAGGATCTCATTACTGCCAAGCTTAACAAAATAAAAAATTAGAACAGAATACTTAATATAGCTTTATTACATAGAATAGTTCATATAACTTTATTCCAACAGATTAGATACTTTAGTTGAAATGGAAAAATTGACACAAAAGCTGCTGAAAGTGACTCTAGAAAATCTGAATAAGGCTGTAACAAGAGGTTGTGTTAGCTATCAAAAAGCAAGATGGCATCATTGATCATTTCCACTAACCTTAAAAGAAAATTTAATACCCATTATTCACAGACAATACCAAAAAATAGAGGAGGGACACTTCTACCACAGCTACCAAAAAGAGCAAAAAATATGTGTATATATATATATGTGTGTATATATATATATTTTATTTATATATTAAATTCATATATATATTTTCTTGTTTTGATATATATATATTTGATATATATATATATATAATATATATATATAATATTTAATATATATATCAAAACAAGAAAATCATCATAAACCTTCATGGATACAAAGTCAATAACAAAACAGTAGGACTAAATCAACAACATATAAAAAAAATTACGTATTAGGCCAATCATGATTCACTTTAAAAAGCTAACACTGGTTAGAAATATGTAAATCAGTAATACTACATAAAAAATAAAGGAAATGTAATACATGATGATCTCGATACACAAAGAAAATATTTGTCAGAAATTGTTGTATGAAAGTTGCTAGAATTAAAATGGGGTTGCTTGTGTTAACACTAACAATAAATAAATTCAACCAGGAGGTTCTGAAGGAGGAACTCACAAAGGACTGTCAGACAGGACTACCCTGCAGGGAGGGTACATCATCAGAGCCGCACATCAGCTGTGCATTCGGCCTCACCCTCGTGCCACCGCTGTTAGTCACTGCTGTGGTCATGGTAACTGTTTCCAAATATCTTGCATAAACAACTCATTCTTTTTTTTTTTTTCATTTTGTTAGCATTCATCTCCAAAGATGGACAGGACTTAGTTTGTTGAGCAGAGCACTGCGATGGGAATTTGTATGTCCTTGTAGACGACATGTACTCAATGAAGTTGGCACGGGGAAAGACTTTTAAAGGTGAAATGAAGAGTATTGCGTAGGATATTATGAAACAGTAATCCTTAGCCAGGAAGCCTGATAGCAAGGGTGGTGTCACGTTGAGGTTGTCTCTGGATAGATGCCCGGGTGTAAACAGATTTTGTGTAAGGCCTTTGAGGCTAGATTATCATCCTGGCAGAGTCTTCTGTGATATTTAGTATCAGGCAATTGTGCACGAGAACATTCCTTCATAACCTTCTAACTATCATTTTAAAATGTGTCATTTTCACATTTTCAAAACTACCATTGGGCTGATGAAGGCAGGTGGTAGCCAAGTGAAACACTAAGACCAACTCCCCACAGAGACACAAGTGTAACCAACTATTCAGAAGAGCTGTGCAAGCCAGGTAAGGAACAACTGAGTCAAGTTTTATTACGACAATTAAAGAGGCTAGGAGCCAGCACCATGGTGTACTAGGCTAAGTTTTAGCCTGTGACACCAGCATCCCATATGGGCACCAGTTTGAGTTCCACCTGCTCCATTCTCTATCCAGTTCCCTGTTTATGTGCCTGGAAAAGCAGCAGAAGATGGTCCAAGATGGTGCTTGGACCCTGACACCGATACCAGAGACCTGCATGGGGCTCCTAGCTCCTAATTGTGGAGTCTTTACTCTTTATCACCACTTTGGGAGTGAGTCAGCTGATGAAAGGGAACTCTCTCTCTTTTTCTCTCTTTTGTTCTCACTTCGTGTGTGTGTGTGTGTGTGTGTGTTTCTCTGGCTTCCAAAAACATAATTGTTTATAAAACTTGGCTTTAGATTTGAACATTTTTCCAAAGAAGGCATCCAAATGGCCAACAGGCACATATAGATGCTCAACACCACTAAGCAAAGGCAAATAAAAACCAAAATTGGACATCACTTCATTCCACTAAGACTGACTTTTACTAAAAAAAAAAAAAGAAAGAAAAAGAAAACTAAATAAATCTACCAAGATGTATATAAGATATATCAAGATAAATAAATTGGGCCTGGCAGCGTGGCCTAGCAGCTAAAGTCCTCGCCCTAAACGAGTCAGGATCCCATATGGGCACCAGTTCTAATCCCAGCAGCTCCACTTCCCATCCAGCTCCCTGCTTGTGGCCTGGGAGAGCAGCCGAAGACAGCCCAAAGCCTTGGAACACTGCACCCATGTGGGAGACCTGGAGGAAGTTCCTGGCTTCGGATCGGCACAGCATGGGCCGTTGTGGTCACTTGGGGAGTGAATCATTGGACGGAAGAGCTTCCTCTCTGTCTCTCCTCCTCTCTGTATATCTGACTTTCCAATAAAAATAAATAAATCTTTTTTAAAAAAAAAAAGATAAATAAATCAAAGATGGGAAGCCATCTTTTAATTTGGAAGTAGAGATTCATACTGTATTGTATATTTGCATCTCAATTACACAGGTACTATACATTCCTTCAAATGAAAAGCCATACAACAAAATCAATAACAGAAAGAAAAATAGAAAATTTACAATAACAAGGTAAATAGCTTGCTACTGAATGACCAATGTGTGACTGAAGAAATTTAAAGAAAATTAAAAGCCTTCTTGAAGCAAATGATGCCTCTGTGTGACCTGAATCATTGAGAAATCTAATAAGAAAAACACAACTGCCATTGCCCATACCTGCAATGTCAGAATATACTTAAACAGCTGAATGATGGACTTATGACTGTTTATGAAGGACTGCACTGTTGTATTGATACAGGGGAAATCAGCTGGTAGGGAGGGGATTTGGGAAGGAGAGAAAGGAAATCCAAAAGGCTATGGAACTGTACCATCAGATAATACAATAAATTTAAATAAACAAATCCACCATAGGAACCAGCAGTTTTACTACTGGATATGTATCCAAGAGAAATAAAACACTGTCTAAGTGACATCTGTACTTCCCTGTTTATTGCAGATCTATTCACCATATAAAAGAAATGGACACAGCTTAGCAGTACACGTATAGAACATTAGCATGTTGCCTACAAGGATAGAAATCACTGGGGCCTGAGTTGTACAGGCAAGGATGGTCATCCAGCCCTGCTGGCAGAGGGCTGAGGACTTGGGCCAAACCACATGGCCCAGGTGGTAGCCTGGCTGAAAGAGGTCCTAGGGTCTGAGCTATTCAGGCCAAGCTTGAAAGGACATGGGGTCCGAGCCACAATGGGCCAGGGAGGTTGCCCAGCCCTGGGAGGTGACTCGGCTTGTAGAAGGTCTGACTGGACTGCAGACACCTTCAGATGCTCACTCTCACAGACCACAGCACACCAGTGTGCCCTGAGCTCAATGCACACGTTGCATGTTGGACCACCTCCTCTGCTGACTCTGTTGCAAAGGTGTGTCTTGGCTGATTTTAGGCCTGGATGTATGCGAAGGATGTCTGGCTACCCCAGTGAAGCAGCCAAAGACTTCAAATACCTCTTCAAAGTAAGTATAGCCTTTGCTTTCTCCATATTAAGGCTGCAGCACCTTAATGCAGACACGTTTCAATGATCTCTGCTCTTGACCTCTGTAGAAGCTGCTCCTGGCAGGAGGATGCCCTAGTTCTTCTAACTAGAACTCAGTGAGTTCTTCTACTATAGTGCTAGAAGGTATCAGTATGTCACATGTAGCTAATCTTTAAAAGCTGTTATCTTAAGCAGTTTGGTCTACACTTCAAGCCAGCTTCTACACTTCAAGCAGCTAAATCTGTAGACACTATTTCAAAAGTAGTTATGGACCACTGGCAAGTCTCAGGATAAATATTTGCTGGCCTGGGACCAGCAGGCGAGGGGCACCATAGGTCCAAGACAGGCTACTCCCATGCTGTACCACCCCACTGGTCTTAGGAGTTGCAAATCAACAGCTTGAAACTGGAGTCCTAGATAGGCCACAGCTGCAGCATGCCACCATGCCGGAACAGGTGCCTGAAGCTGGGGTCTGATGCCAGAATCCTGTGACCATGCTGGTCTAGGAGCAGTAGACTAGAGACTTAACAGATTCTAGATAGTCGTACACAGAGCACCTCTGTGCTAGGCCTGACAGTTTTGGCTGCTTTTCTCCCAGCAGTGTAACACTTACCTAAACATTTGTCTACAGCTGGGATTAGCTCTGATTCAGAAGGAGCTTGACCGAAGGCATAGTGTGCAAAGCTGTGGTCAGAGTTAAGGGAACCAATGGCAGTGCTGGGCAGAGAACTGGTAAGGAAGGATGTATGACGGCAGAGAAAGAACTCAATGACCAGAAGTGTGTTCAGTGCTGGAGCCAAGGCAGTGAAATCATTCAACAAAAGCTGAAGGAGTCAAGCGGTGCTGCCAGAACAAATACCGTTTGTTTTCTTCCCTCAGTCCTCTGCCTTCTGATTCCATGCATTTCCTCTCATCTTTCAACATCACCCGTGGATGTCAAAGAGCCAGGGGCCTCTGATGGTGTGGGCTGCAAGGATCAGCACATTGGAGCACAGAATAAGCCAGAGAGGTGTGAATTGGGGTTGGAAGGGCCACATACTGTGGATAGGGAAGAATTAGCATTAGGTTTAAGGAGGCTTCCTGAACTTGGCTCACTTTGTGTCCCTACCTATACTCTAATTCTAAAGTTAATTTTAAAGTATAATATGTCCCACAGATACCTGCTATGCTGAACCAGTGGTCAGCATAGCCAGTCATTGCAAAGGGTGTCCGCAGTTAGTGCTGGTGACCCTTTCCTTCCAGACTTGGACGAATTGTAGCTATTCTGGAGAGCTTTGATGTTTTTCCCCCACTCACACCCCTTGAAAGGGTATTTTTGTTGTTTTGTTTTCTTTTCATATAAATTTTAATTTTGATGAGAAAAAAAAACTTACCAAACTCTTGGATGGTACGGCAGCTCTAATTAGCCCTGAGCACAGGAGTCTTATTTAGTGGGAAAAATAAATTCCTATGAATGACAATATATATATATATTGCCCTGGATTTTTCTGTCGCAACTTTTCTGATGGAAACAATCTTTTTTTCTCCCCCAATGCATCAGTTAAGGTCTCAAACACAGTGTACTCCACATGCTTAACATCAGTTAAGGTACAAACACAGTGTACTCCACATGCTTCAGATATCAAGTGTTGCCTAGAAATTAGTGGCTATTGTTTAAAAAAAAAATGAAAGAAAAGAAGGGACCTAAATTGGTGAAGCACCATTAGAAGAAGGCAGTTCCAACCCTAAGGCGGAAGGAATAAGGAAAAAACTATAAATCAGAGCTGGCTCTGTCCCCTTACATTTGTGAATCCCAAAGGAAAAGGATCAATCAGTCCATATCCCATTTCTTTCTCTTCCCATCCCCACATCATGGGGCAGGGAAGCAGTTGCGGCAGCCTCTGGAAGGCAGCATGGATCCACCTGCATAGCCAGTTCCAGAGTCCCAGACACGTGGAGCACACTGCAGAGGAGAGACCAGAGTCCGGGAGATTCTTGGACTGCCACACATCTCAGCAGGAAGAGGTCCCAAGGCATGGTGAGGAGCAGGGACTCTCCAATCAAGAGCGATGGTCCATGAGGGGAGCCACACAGCCTGAGATGCAGCCTGGAGGGAAGTGACTCCAGCCAGAGACCAGGCACCAGAGCAGGGAGGAGACAAGAACAGTCTTTTTCTCATCTTCTGATTTCCTGTGGACACCTCCCTTAGCTGCACCCACCCAGAAGCCTACTCGCCAGGAAATCTGAATGGTGGAGTCCACAGAGACGGGCACAGAGAAGATGGAGAAAGAGCCTGAGATTAACCAGTACTACCAGTCAAGAATTCCCTCTAGGGGGTAGAAATAGCTGGGCACTCGTACTATCGTATGAAATGATTCATCTTAAATATTACATTA